CTTCCACATTGTAAAGATTGTGTGATCTAAATTTCAAAGACCTCTGTTTTCCCCCACAGATAGAGTCATACAGCACAGAAACAGGCCCTTCGGTCCAACCAGTCTATGCTAAACATAATCCCAAACTAAACTAGTGCCACCTGCCTACTCCTGGCCCATATCTCTCCAAACCTTTCCGACTCATATACTTCACTGTAACTGTATCCATATCCACCATTTCCTCACAAAGTTCATTCCACATGCTAACCATCCTCTGTGTCTGTTATCCCCTCATGTCTTTTCAAAAACTCTCCCCTCTCACCTTAAAAATGGGACCCGAGTATTGAAATTCCCCCATCCTAGGGAAAAGACCACTACCATTAACTTTATTTGTATCCCTCATTATTTTATAAACTCCCATAAGATCGCCTCTCAACCTCTTACACTCCACTTAAAAAAAAAGTCCCAGCCTATCTTTATAACTCAGACCTTCCATACCTGGCAACATCCTGGTAAATCTCTTCTGAACCCTCTCCAGCTTAATAATATCCTTCCTATAACTGGGCAACCAGAACTGGACACAGTATTTCAGTATTCCAGAAGAGGCCTCACCAATGTCCTCCACAACCTCAACATGACTTCACAACTTCCATACTGAAAAGGACTGAGCAATGAAGGCAAGTGTACTAAATGCCTTTTTAACCACTCTGTCTACATGTGACACAAATTTCAAAGAATTATGTACCTGAACTCCTAGGTGCCTTTGTTCTGTAACACTACCAAAGGCACTACCATTTTAATTGTATAAGCCCTACCCTTGTTGTACAAAAATGCAGTACCTCACATTTATCCAAATTGAACTCCATTTGTCATTGTTTAGCTTTTGTTCACAAATTAACCAACACCAAACCAAAATGTTGAAAACAACCAAATCCCAAACTAAAATGGACTTGTGTTTCAGTATTGTTACCTCAAGCTGCCCCAAAGCCCTTTACATTCAATGAAATGCTTTATCAGAATGCCAGAAATTCTGTTGACTTTCTGGAGGTGTAAAGCGCAGGAGTAATTCATGCTCTGAACACTAAAGGAACTATAATTATGATAATTAGGATTGCCAAACAATTAGCAGAAGTGCGAGGGAGCTGATAAACAGCATAGGAGCATTTGACTGTATCAATCTCTCTTCTCAGTGTTCATAGTGAAATGCTGAGGACATCTTCAGTTTGTAGGGAGCGTTGCTGACATTTAAGGTCTGGGACCACAATTTCAGATGATTTTGTTTGGCCGGTAGAAGTGTGAGATGGCAGGACAGAGTGCCAACTACAATGGTGGTAGATAGGTCTAACAGTCAATGAAACAAGCAGGTCTTTCTGAAGCCACGGAGCATTTCAGCTATGAAGCGAGGCCGGATATGGTCAGAGATAGTAGGAACTGCCGATGCTGGAGAATCTGAGATAACAAGGAGTAGAGGTTGTTTTCTTTGGAGCATAGAAAGTTGAGGGAGAACCTGACAAGATGTAGAAGATTACAAGCAGCATGGACGTGTTAAATTGAAAGCAGCAGTTCCTCTTAATTTAAGCATCAATACAAGGGGACATAATTGTAAAGTGAAAGACAGGAGATTTATGAGGATGTGAGGGAAAGCTTTTTCACCAAGAGGGTGGTGGGGGTCTGGAATGCACTGCCTGGAACAGTAATTGGGGCGGGAAACCTCACAACTTCTACTTGGATGTGCAGTTGAAGCATAATAACATTCAGGAAATTTAGTGCAGGAGAGTGGGACAAGTATAGCTAGTAGTATATTTTGGCAGTACAGATCTGATGGGCTGAAGGATCTCTTCTTCACTATGTAATACTATGATTCTTAGATGTGAATCCACTGCTAAGGTTTTATTTTGCTACCCTTCTGTTCGTTTTAGCTTAAGTTAAATAACAACCTTTACGTTGCTTACCTACACAGGAAATTACAAACTCTCCAAAATACACAAACCCATCACAGAGATTTATGTAAGGACCACCACAAAAGATAAAATGCTTCATGTTTCTGGCATCTCCCAATGATTCCTTCTTGTGCAGGGATATCAATGAACAGCTGAGAGGGTGGGGAGAGTCAACTGCCAGCAGTTGTGGTACCAGCAGCACAGGTAGAAGGAGGGATAAAATATAGCAGGAAACATGGTGTAAGAGGGAGGGCTTTAGATTTCTGGGACATTGGCATAAGTCTGTGGGAGAGATAGATCCTATAAAAGCCAAAATGGTTGCATCTAAACAGAGCTGGGACCAATTTCCTTACAGGGTGATTGCTATTTGGAGGATTTGAACTAAGTTGGCAGGGGCATGGGAACGAAGAAGTAATAATAGAGAGAAATACCAAGGCGTGTAAAATACAAATAGAGATATAATGTTATACTCCAAAAAAGAACTGTTTTTAAACAGATTTTTTAAAAATTCATTTGTGGGATTTTGAACGTCACTGGCTGGCCAGCCAGCATTTATTGCCTGTCCGTAGTTGCCCTTGAGAAGGTGGCAGTGAGCTGCCTTTTTGAACTGCTGCAGTCCACCTGCTGTAGATTGACCCACAATGCCATTAGGGAGAGAATACCAGCATTTTGACCCAGCGACAGCGAGGGAACGGCAATATATTCAAAAAATTTTCTGAAGGAGAGTCCCGACCCAAAACGTCAACTTTCCTGCTCCTCTGATGCTGCCCGGCCCGCTGTGTTCCTCCAGCTCCATACTGCGTTATCTCTGACTCTAGCATCGGCAGTTCTTACTATCTCTCCATTCTCACAGTCTGTTTTAAAAAACTGCAATATAGATTCTCAGTCTGGTTTCAAAAACACATTTGTTGAGTGTACTGTATCCTACAGTGATTCAGTATCAATGCAGCACTCAACAGATATTGCTGCTGATTTCCTTTTTCGAATTTCTTCCAATATTTTCACTAAGGAGAACGCCACATCTACCGGCTCACCGAGAGCGAGAATCCGCTTTTTACTATACTTATGCTCTTTTTAGCTTAAGCTTAAAGTCAACATTTACCTTGCTTACCCACACAAGAAATTATAAACTCTCCCGCATTTGGAACCCACCACAGAAACTGGCATCAGAAAAATAAAGTTTCACAATCCTGGCATCTCCAATGATGGAAACTTCAAAACACCAGGCTTCATTTTTGCTTTCTTTTTTCAATCCTTTGTTTGCCTATATATCCTCTACCTTCATAGCTGTACTCAACGCTAATGATGCAAAATGGCAATCTGACCTTGTTTGGCCTAGCCAATTCAACTGTCCAATTAGAGTTTGAAATTACTTCATATCAGTTTTCCAAGCTATTGTACCTCTTTTGTGAAGCCTAAATCTGACAAATATCAATGGAGCTAACATTTTCTAAATAAGACTGCTGATGTAAAGTGACACTTAATCCATTATAAATGATTTCCAAACCAATGTACTTCAAAGCCTAAGAAGCCTAAGTTCTAGTTTTGAATTCTGCTTTATGCCCATTTATGACAATGTTTTCAAATTTAATGCTATAACACCACAAATAAAAATCTACATGCATCATAAATTTGCCTGAAAACTGCCCTTCCTGATACCAATAAAACATGGCAGGGTCTCCTTTTAACTGAAGCCAACCCAACTTTAATATGACAGAACATACTGTACACTTTCATTCATCTTCCATGCTGACCCCACTGCATTTGGTGTCCCTGTTGGATGATGAAGACACATTTCCTTCTGAAGATGGTCTTCCTGCAGAAATGCAACTTTAATATTAGTTGATCTATCCTGCTCCCTGGTCAACATCTGTCTCGGGCTTACTGCAGTGTTCCAGAGAAGAAAAACTCAGTTGGCCAAGGAGAAAGTAGCCCAGTAAAGGTAAAATACTGCCTTTACTGGGGATCTGAATATAAAAAAAAAACAGAAAGCACTGGAGAATCTCAGCAGGTCTGCAAGTATCAGACTCAAACCATTATTTCTATTTCTCTCTCCTCAGATGTTGCCAGACCTGCTGAGTTTCTCCAGCACTTTCTGTACTTATTAAAGTAGCCCAGCATCTTATTCTGTGGCAAATCTAGATTGCTGATTAAGAATCTAATGATGACCATGAAACCATTGTCAATTTTTGGGAAAACCTACCAAGTGCACCAATGTCCTTTAGGGAAGGAAACTACCATCCTTACATATGTCTGGCCTACATAGGACTTCAGACCCACAGCAATGTGGTTGATATTTAACTGCTCTCCAGGATGGGTAATTAGGGATGGACAATAAATGCTGGCCTAGCCAGTGACACCTACATTCCATGAATGAATGAATGAATAAAAATAGGGCAGAGGCTGTCATGCCAGACTGGGGCACCTGGGAAAAAAAAGCTAGGCCAAGGTTTCCTCAGGGTTGAAAAGTACACCATCATGGTAAAGAGTTGACCATCATGGCACAATTCATCAGCTTACAAGATGCTAAAAAGGCTACAGACATCCAATACCTATACTTTGTCTGCAAAATTGCCCTGAGCTTCCAGTTGGCTGCCACTTTAACACACCACTCTGCTCCCTGGCCAACATCTCTGTCTCGGGCTTACTGCAGTGTTCCAGCGAAGAACATTTCCCACTTGGGGACCTACAGCCTTCAGGACACCATATCAAGTTCAATCATTTTGGGGCCTGAGCACCTTCTCCCATGTTCTTTACCTCAACCCTCACAGACCAGGCCTTGGTGTCAACATGGGGTACTACCACAAACCACCCCATTATCAGCCAGTAATGGTCTCCATTAGCAGATACTGATTTCCCACAGACATTCCTTTATCTGCCCAATTTCTTTTTACTGAAGGTCACTGGACCCAAAACATTAACTCTGCTTTCTCTCCACAGATACTACCAGACCTGCTGAGCTTTCCCAACACTTTCTGGGTTTTCTTTTGTTACTTGAAACGCTTTTTTGCTAATGAGGCTCAAAGGAAAAGTCTTAAAGGAGGGTATTAAACGTGTTCGACAACAGCTTCCCCACAATACCTGTTCGGTTCCACGAAACCAGAAACAGTCCAACCCTCTGCGGCCACCGTCGCGGAAACTTCGGGACTGGAACCGTGTGGTGCACCACGGTCCCTGTAGTCCAGGTGGTGCGGAGCGAGGACTACAGCGGCCGTGGTGCAGTGCGCGTGGCGTCACATCCGTTTCCGTTATTCCTTTTACCCCTCTCGCCCGCCGCCGCCGGGCTGGTGGTTGGGACAATGGCTGCCTCCTTGCTCTTGGTGCTGGTTGTGGCTGTGACAGTCAGGGCTGTGTTGTTCCGCTCTTCGCTGGTGGATTTTATCTCAGAGCGAGTGGAAGTGGTCTCCCCTCTGAATTCTTGGAAGCGAGGTATCTGTTTTGTGTATGTTTTATCATTCGTTTCCCCCGTGTAGCTGTCCCCCTTTCTTGTCAGTGTGGATTGGGCTCTGGGGCTTCTGATTGTCACTTCATTCTAATTCCCCCATTCGTGACCAACACTGCTATCCATTTTTAAATGTTTAATGTTTAATGCTTAATTCATATGTGTAGCACACAAAAATGCACATTCCAATGCTGTTGCTAGGATCTCAGGAAAGTTTAACTACGACAATGAAATTTATTGCTGAGATCTTGCATTTAAACAGCTCTGCATCTCGTCTTTCCAAAACCTTTCCCCATACAAATGCTAGCCACAGATATGTAGTGGCACCTCTGTAAGCAGATGCAGCAGTTATTTTTGTTTTGCAAGACTTACTGGTCAGCAGTGAGCTGCAGGATCAAACTTTTTATTTTTTATTGTGTTCTCTCTTTTTAAAAAAAATTCAGTCATACCTTTCATACCATTTGGGGTGGTACAAGGCACTTTACTGCAGGTGAAGTTCTTTTCATTTGTGGTCATAGAGATGTACAGCATGGCGACAGACCGTTCGGTCCAACTCATCCATGCAACCAGACATTCCAAATTTAGTCCCATTTGCCAGCATTTGGCCTGTATCCCTCGAAACCTTTCATATTCACACACCCATTTGGCCTTTTAAATATTGTAATTGTACCTGTTTCCACCACCACCCCTGTCTGCTTATTCCATACATGCAACATCTATGTATGAAAAAGTTGCCCCTTAGGTCCCTTTTAAATTATTCCTCACTCATCATTAACCTATGCACTCTAGTTTTGGACTCCCCTACCCTGGGGAAGAGACCTGGCCTATTCACCCTATTCATGCTCTTCATGATTTTATAAACTTGGATAATGTCACCTCTTAGTCTCCGATACTCCAGGAAAAATAGCCCCAGCCTATTCAGTTTCTCCCTATTATTCAAACCCTCCAGCCCTGGCATCATCCTGGTAAATCCTTTCTGAACCCTTTCAAGTTACACAACATCTTTCCTACAGCAGGGAGACCCAGAATTGAATACAAGATTCCAAAAGTAGCCTAACCAATGTCCTGTGCAGCCGTAACATGACCTCCCAACTCCTATACTCGATGCACTCAAGTCACCGTTGTAATACAAGAAAAGCGGCAGCCAATTTGTACATAGCAAATTCCCACAAACAGCAGTGTAAAGACCAGAATTTCTGTTTTGTAATATTGATGAAGAGATAAATGTAGGCCAGAATATCAGTGAGAATCTTGCCGCCACCTCTTTGAAAAATGACTTTGGATCCTTAAAGTACATCTGAGAGAGTATGCCAAGTCTTCATTTAATATCTTATCTAGCCAATTCCATCTCTGACATTGCAGCACTCCCTCAATACTACGCTGGATGATCAGCCTGCAGTTTTCAGCTCCAGTTTTAGTGTGGGACTTGAATCCATGGCAGTTTGAGTCAGAGGTAGATTTACTCATTAGGACTCTGGATGAATCACAGAAACAGGCAAATCATTTACATCTCATATGAAGGATAACCCTGACATTGCAGTGCATCAAGTGTACTTTACCTGACGAGCATGGATATGTGCTCAGGTTCTATGTTGTGTGTGCCTTGAGCCCATGTCAACTACCAAGCCCTTCAACTTTAGAACTTTTTCAGACAGTTACTAATCCTACTTTTGACTTGTTTCTGGCAAGAGCAATTTTGAGCTGTTTAACACTTAGATGATATATTTATGGTTGGTTGTGTTGGAAGCAGTTTAACTTAAGTTATTGGGCTGTCAATAGTTTCATAAAGAATAATCATGATTAATCCTTTTATCTGTTAATCTTAGTTTTAACCATGTATTTAAATGTTTATTTACCAATTTTACTTTCCAAACAGCACTATTAAATATCTTGATGTCTTGTTTTGGTAACTGTGTCAAGATGCCTACCAGTAATGGGGGAATATGGCTGACTGAAATTGGATAAATTAGTGTAGGCAGCATTGGTGGTTATATGTTTTAGAATTGACAGCATAATTCAGACACATCAAAAAATCCTATTGGAAACCTGAAGGAAGAGAATTGCTTCCATCCCAGCCTTTGGTCACACAGTCACGACTCTAAAATTTCTGGATCCCTTTTGCTTTCAATTTTCCCATTCACTAGATGATTTGGGTGTGAATGTAGGAGGAATGGTTTGTAAGTTTGCAAATGACATCAAAATTGGTGGTGTAGAGGATAGTGAAGAAGGTTATTGAAGGGTACAATGGGACCTTGATCAGATAGGCCGAGGAGTGTCAGATGGCGTTTAATTTAGACAAATGTGAGGTGTTCCATTTTTGTAAGGCAAATCAGGGCATGACTTAGACACTTAATCCTCGAGTCCTGGGGAGTCAAAGCGTCATACAGCATGGAAACTGACCCTTCGGTCCAACCAGCCCATGCCAACAATAATCCCAAACAAAACCAATCCCACCTGACTGCGCTTGGCCCATATCCCTCCAAACATTTCTATTTGTTACTTATCTAAATGTCTTTTAAATGTTTTAACTGTGGTCACATCCACCACTTCCTCTAGAAGTTCATTCCACACACGAACCATTCTCTATGTTAAAAAAAAAAAATTGCCCCTCGTGTTTTTTTTTAAATCTTTTTCCTCTTACCTTAAAAGTATGCCCCCTAGTTTTGAAATCCCCGACCCTAGGGAAAAGACACCTGCTATTCACTATGCCCCTCATTATTTTATAAATCTCTATAAGGTCACCTCTGAACCTACGGTCTAGTGAAAAAAGTCCCAGTCTATCCAGCCTCTCCTTATAACTCAAGTCTTCCATATCCGGCAACATCCTGGTAAATCTCTTCTGAACCCTGTCCAGCTTGGTAATATCTTTCCTATAACAGGGTGACCAGAACTGGACACAGTACCCCAGAAGAGACCTCACCAATGTCCTATACATCCTCAACATAAAGTCTCAATTCCTACGTTCCAAGGTCTGAGTAATGGAGTGTTGCTGAATAAAGAGACCTTGGAGTGCAGGTTCATGCCTCCTTAAAGGTGGAGTTACAGGTAGACAGGGTAGTGAAGAAGACATTTGGTATGCTTGTTTTTATTGGTCAGTGCATTGAGTGTAGGAGTTGGGATGTCATGTTGCAGCTGTACAGGACATTGGTTAGGCCACTTTTGTAATTGCGTTCAATTCTGGTCTCCCTACTCTAGGAAAGATGTTGTTAAACTTGAAAGGGTGCAGAAAAGATTGAAAAGGATGTGGCCAGGTTTGGAGGGTTTGAGTTCTAGGGAGAGGCTGAATGGGCTGGGATATTTTCTGTGGAGCATCGGAGGTTGAGGGGTGACCTTATAGAGGTTTATAAAATCATGAGCATGGATAGGGTGAATAGCCAAAATCTCGTTCCCAGAGTAGGGGACTCAAAACTAGAGGGCATTGATTCAAGGTGAAAGGGGAAAGACATAAAAGGGACCTAAGGGGCAACATTTACACATGTGGTGGTGCATGAATGGAATGAGCTGCTGGAGGAAGTGGGGAGGCGGGTACAATTACAACATTTAAAAGGCATCTGGATGGGTACATGAATAGGAAGGGTTTAGAGGGATATGGGCTAAATGCTGGCAAATGGGACTAGATTAATTTAGAATATCTGGTCAGCATGGACTAGTTGGACCAAAGGGTCTGTTTTCTTCCAACTCTGAGTACTAATTCCGCTGTGTGGTTCTTGTCACTCATGCATGATTTTAAATTTATCTGCATTGAACTATACCTGTGCATTTCATTAAACAATGGTCTTCTGGTCATTGTCCTCCTCTTCCATCACTAAATTTGAGGTTATTTGTAAAGTTTGCAATAGAGGCTTTTTATGGTGTATAATATTTACTTTGCTATTTAGACTAGAAAAGTCCAATTTTTAGCAATTACCATGAAATAATTCTTGCAATTAAAAGTTTCCCTAAAATGATAAATAAAGGAAATGAAGTTCTCGGTTGAACATTACATCTGATAACAAGGAGTACTAAAGTTGTGTGACAGTTAAAATGTGTGTCTCCTTTCAATATTTGGGTCCAATTTATTATATACCATATCTAAATTATGCATTTTATCTACGGGAGAAAGTGGGGGGAGAAACAATTTTTCTTGAATCTGAAATTTGATTTGTGTATCTAGCCTATGTACTGGATATGGTTGAAGAAACTAGCCTGTATTGTGGAGATTTTATTCTCCCCTCTTACCAGCTCTCTTCATTGCAGATAACTGGATTCTCTGGGTCTACTTAGCAAAGTTTGGGGCATGATAATGAAGTGGGCTAATTCCAGGTAAATGGTGTGTTCAGGGATTTCCATCTCCAAGCAAGAAGTAGTTGCTGTTTTATGGTGGGATTTACTTGATCTTTACATTAAGTCTCTTTCCTGACACAAAGGCACTTTGGAAGATTTCTAATCAGCTTTGAAACTGTACAAAAGCCTACAGCCACAAAATATTAGAAATTTTTAATAAATTTATCTGGAGGCATTGCTTTGAAATTAATTCCTTTTCCATTTCCTTTTCTAGTTCCATATTTTGCACCGTGTACTGTAATTTTGCAGTACTGTAATGTTTGTTTCTTTTTATGTTTTAGTTGTAGAAGGGCTTGCTTTGTTGGATCTAGGAGTGTCGCCGTATTCTGGAAATGTGTTCCATGAAGTAAGTATCATACTACCAGCAGTGTGTTTCTGGTCACCTCAGTTAATTGT